AGGTACATGGAGCTATATGAAGGCGATGACTCCCCCCTGATACAAGTCGCTGAATCGGTAAAACTGCTACAACCATTTACGTTGCCGGGGAAAACCTTTAGCCACCTTATTTACCCTGCTGAATCTGTTCTCATTTTGTGCAGGAGGAGTACAACGACTTGCGTTCGCAGATGCTGTACAACATGGTCTTCCACTCCAACAATGTTGCTGCGCCTCTGCCACCGGAACTAGAAGAGCTATGACCCAGCAGCCCCTGCGCAGACTCAAGTGAATGATCAATGCGTGTCCCTGTGATGTTGCCTTGTGGTCTTCTGTTTTTTGAACAACAATGCTATTCATGTGATCCCAAGTACTTGTAATGGAACAACATACTGTTGCTCAACTAGTTGCATTTTGCTTTGTGTGGTAGCCTTAGTTCCTTCAAACTTGCTGTTATGCATTACTGACATTTACAGTGGAAGGCCCAGTAATCGATTTACTTCATGCACCTCATCATATCATTTGTGATTTTACCCTGTAAATCAATTACTTGAGACACAATCCATCATTCTGTCAACAACAAGTTTAAACAGCTAACGATGATAATAATTGCTTTACTATAGATTTTAGACGCATCATAACAACTCATGTAACCTAATTACAACAATCTCTCTGCCGAGCACTTCAGTTCTTTTTTAATGCGTGGAAATTGACCAGTAATTCGTTAACTGTGTTATGCCATTCAGTGTGCATGTCTCATTACCATCCTTGGCACACGTAGTAAATGGATTACCATCCTTGGTGCACGTAGTAAATGGATTACCACACTACTGTCATCACTTTCATCACCCCTATCGGTTCTTTGCAACCAAACACGATAATAATTCAATTACCAGAAGATCTCCCCCACACCCAATAACCTGGAGTAATCCAATTACAACAGCCCCACATGCGCTTTCATTTGTTTTGCATGTGTCCACTGATATGCAAACCCACAAAGTGTATAATTCCACAAGCCACACCCACACATTACACACAGCACCCAAAACGTATTCAACGTCCTGTTTTCAACAACTGTGAAACCATCTACACGGCACACATTTATATTCTGAAACCTGCTATTATCAAGCTGGCACTTAAACTAACATGTACTACATAACAAACATTTGATGTTAGGTTGGTGGCTTAACAATGCTATTTGCACGTTACACAAATTATGGCACATACGTCAATATGGACAGTGTGGAGCGTACACATCATAGGTCGGCGCCACCTCCAGAATCATCCTCGCCATCAATCATCTCTTCATCCTCGTCAACCCCATAATCCATTTCCTCTTCAAGCCTCCTCCTAACATTGGCTGAAACCCCCGCTATACGCTTACCGCTGCCCCTTGGTCGGCCCCTCTTCCCTTTACCCCTATTCAACACCTTCTGTAGCTTGTCGAAGTTGTTGGGGGTTCTTTGGGCAGGTAGTGCTGTAATGACCATCCTTTTTATGACACCACCCACAGACCCTGTTGCAAACCTTCTTGCCCTTTGTGCCGAGGACCATCCCCTGTCCTGGTTCGGCGGCCATACCCTTTGTTCGCGACTTAGGAGGTGCAGTTCGGCTTATCTGGCTAGCGAGGTCATTTCTTTCCCCCTCTCCTTGCATTGTTGTTTGATCAACAGCAATGGATGATCCAGAACTGGACGGGATGCTTTCGACATGTATTCTCAAACTCTTCAGGCCTTTCAGCGCCTCATCATATGCGTCCTATGATTTGCTCCCAGCTTTTGCAACAGCCATAGCCTCGGTCATCAGTACTTTTGTTCTGTAACTCTCTTGCACACCGTCCGAACCAATTGTCTTTTGGTCCCTTCTATCGAAGGGCATGTCGCTTTTCGCTTGCATAGTGTACCTACGGAGAATGTACTTGGCCGGGATGGTCTCAACCTGCACGTGGACAAATGCCCTAAGCAAGTGAGGGCAGAAAATTCTTGTTACAAAAACATGAGCAAGCCAAAATTAGTGCGCTCAAATAAATAGTCTATCTCCACTCGATAACTAAACATAGGACAGATGTACAGTTCCACCAAACCTGTATGCTCCCAAAGCATGCACTCGCACTCATACTGCCCATCATCAACATTTGCAATTACTCGGAACTCCCGCTGGCACCAGTTATATTTTAGCGATCTCTTTGTGTGCGAGATGATCCATGTGTCACTGGATGCTTCACTTGACCTAATTTTGAATGACTTGCTATCGCCCAACACCCCCTCAAATTTCTTGAATACTGCCCTAGTATATAGTCTCGCCAACTGCACCTCGAACGGCCAACAATTTGCAAAGCTGATTTCGGCCTACATGAATCACATTTAACACTGTTAATCACTGCATTTTCTATAGTTAGTGACACGCTGATAGTTTATGCGCACATATATTGTTTCTTTCCATGCAAGCCGACTCCTCTGCTGCCTCCTTCTCCTTCCTTTATGTGAATACATCGAGCATTCTACGCGCGAACCAGTGTAGCGCTGTCTGGTGGTCAACAAACTTACGCTTTACCAATCTGTTTGTGCTCTCGCTCTGCTGCGTCGATGTCATCCGACCACAATAGTCTTCCGAAAGTAAGCTGGGATCCATTTCTCCTGGATTTCGTACAGCCGCTCCATTGTTCCCACACCATGTAGTTCATATTTATCAATAAATTCTGCCCAGGCCCCTTCAAACTCCATCGGGGTATATGTTTGGTCAATACAAATCTCCATGTCACCCTCTAAATCTTCATGACGGGCGAATATAATCGCGAGGGCATCTGCATATTTGTGAAGTATGTGCCACCTGCACAGTCTATGTATGATGTTCTTGAAAACAAGAGGTATGGCAGCTGCCATTGCTACATCCTGGTCTGCAAAAATATTTTACTCATTTACCACACAAGTTCACCATCATAGTAAAGTGCAAATATCATTGCATACTAGTAACCACACAACATTGCACTTTTTGCTTAATACATTACCTGTTAGTATGCATCATAGTTCCGGCCAATCCGCCATGCAAGTCTTGAAAGTATTGAACAACCACTCGAATGACTCCTTCTTCTCATCCCTAAGCAACGCACACCCAAACAACGTGTTTTGGAGATGGTGGTTTGAACCTACAAACATTGCCAATGGCATTTCATATATGTTTGTTTTGTATGTTGTATCGAATGTGACAACATCCCCAAAATCTGCATACGCCGCCTAGCAACTTGCATGGCTCCAAAATAAATTCTTCAGAATGCCATCTTCGTCAAGCTGGGCATCCCAATAAAACTGAGGGTTATCTTTCTTGCACTCCTTAAAGAATTCCAGTAGCTTGTTTATGTCGTCTGCATTCTCAGCTCTCACATTAGCGGCTTTCCTGTTTAGTAACCAAATTACAAAGGACAATTTATTTCAACACGGTGCCACGATGTATGGATGTTTAATGCAATTCAATCGGCAAATGACATATGCAGGATACAAATCTATTCTCAAGATTGCGTGAAGTGAATGGGATGTTCTCTTGTCCACCATGCATGTCAGCAAGCACTCCAATTAGGCTGTTCTGCGCCACCCTGTTTTCTTGCATGGTGTTCACAAACTCCATTATCGTGTCATCCGTGTGCTTATGGGATCTCATGTGCTTTACCGCTGCTAGAGAGGGCGTGAGCGGGTGGTTATGCTCAAGCACAACAACATCGTACACAACAGACGACACCTCACCATCAACCATCACATTTTTCACCTTCATGTATGCCTTGCAACCAGTTTTCTTTGTCCTATGGTTTCGCTCACGTTCAAATTCATCGCCTTTATAAAATTTATGGTGCCCCTCCCTGGAGCAACATATTTCTCTTATAGTCTTCTTAGTTCTACTCTTCCTTATGTCAAACCCAGCATGGTAAGCATATTTCTCATAGAAATCATATACACTGTCATAGTCTTTGAACACCATATTTTGTTTCGGCACCATGTCATCATCCAGCCCACTAAACTGCATTTAGTAAAACTATTACTACCCACCCGTACTGCATGCATAAATGCCATAGAGCATAGATCTGTTCATCCACAAAAATTTGTCCTTACAAACAACATATTAACTACTACTTACATGGGTGTACACTGCTGGCCGTGTTGGAGTAGAAATCTCATGCTCACGCAGAGATGGTGGCATACAGTTCGCATCCCGGCCAGTACAGACGACTGCCCCTCCTCACACTAGCTCATTGTGGTGACTACCTAACACACGCTGTGGCGATGCAGATGTTGGCGGCAATTCACCAAAACGAGCACCGCTGGAGTTCATCGTTGGAGGTGTCACTATGACGCTTCAATTGGTCTTCCCACCGCATGGAACCGCACCCCTCCAAAATTGTGAAGTTGCCAAAGAATAAACCCACCCACACGCAGTGGCAACAACCGACCAGATCGCCAACACGAAACAATCTTGTCATAACTTCCGTAGTAAATCACCATAATACGATAATTCATTTACCGACGAAAACGCCTACTTACAATGTGGCAGTAACCCAATTACTGCATTATGCGAACCACCTCATCCCGAAACAACAGTAACACATTTACAACAAACTCGGTCACTAACTATGGCAAACAATTTAACTACCCCGATAAATCGATTACCATATGCCTAGCTGTGAAAAGGAGCCCAATTAACCTACCAACGTAATAAGTAATCCATTTACCACCAGAAGGGAATGGGACACGTGTCGGTAATTGAGTTAGGTTAGAACCCCGTTTTTCAGAGTAAATCGATTACTATCGATTTTTTACACGCAGCGGTAAATCAATTACAACAAACTCCTTCACACAATTTATCTATACAGTAAATCAATTACCACAAGACTGGTTGCTAGAAGGTGTCCCTATATCCGACACTAATTGATTTACACGCAGAGGCGTATCTTTAACAACTACCCGGATTCAAATAGATCTAATCTACATGGCACGAACGTGGGCAACCGAACACGGTTTTTGCGGACACTGGGCTTGACATGCGGTGCTCGAAACAATGTTCCGTGCGCAAGTGCGCTGAATAGCGCTACCGCATAATATATTGAATTTCAATAAGGAAATTTACAGAATTATTGTTTACATCTTGTAACAAAGAAATTCATAGGCATATCTTTTAAAAAGAAAAAAGTACACATTTTCAGCAGCAAGCTCTGCTAGATAATTGTGCAATATATCTATTCCTATATCATCTTCGCAAATTCCTTCGCTACTTCCTTAGATCTTGAAGTGGGATTCAAGTGTCAGAATTCAGCCACTGATAATTTGAATCTACATAAGAAATTTATTATTACACTTCACAATTGCAATGAAATAATATTGACCATATATTACTTCAGCATATAAAATGCTACTATGAACATACATGAAACAACATAGCCATATTGTCCATTGTCTTGCAGTACTTCACACGGGTCTTACCGGTTATCGTTTTGCTTGAAACAATGATTTGTAACCACTTTACTAAACTAGTTCAAAGACAAACAAAAGTTGCTCACAGATCTAGCATTAAAGTGAGGCCAATTGCCACCTGAAAAATAGATTAGGAGTACTAATGTTCATCAAGATTATCAATGATCCTGTTAAGAATATAATTATCTGATAGTTTCATCCTCTATATATCCGAAACTGGAGAATTCTAATTGGTTTTTGGACAGATCATTTTATTACTAAGCTTCATGTTCTTTCTCCTCTGTTCTGTCAACCAAAAACAGAGTAGCACTAACCTTTGATACCATTGGAAACCCAGTGTGGTAGTGTCCCAGTCATCTTAAATATATTCTTGCAAACCTGCTTGAGAGGGGAAGAAAGACGATGTAGCACCAAAGAATCAAATAATGTATTGAAGCAAGAAGCATTAGTATTTAAGTCCATCTAAAGTAAACTATCTAACGCCATGTTTGTGGAGTGTTGACTGTACACATCATGCTTTCATGATTCCTCCAAACGTGCCTACACACCACAATAATTTCCTCCATACTACAGTAGAACATCTATAGTATTTTATTTTACTGTATCAGCAATAGTGTAATACAAGATTTTGGAAAAACACAGTGCTCAGGACTACCCAAGTGCAATTTATCACAGTTTGCTGTTGAAAATGGAGGAAAATAGTTCGAATGGCACATTTCTTAACATTGAAAGCTACAGTTGACTGAGATATACAAATCGGATATCAGTATCCGCCACCACCATATAGAAGAATAAATGATTACTACTCCTACAATGGAACGAATACATTGGGTAACATATCAAACTTTGGAGCCACACACCATAGAACAAAAACATAATATGCTATATATGCACTGGATATGTCAACAGTTAAACATCAAATATTTTTGCAACAGGAACTTCCCAATATGCATGTGAGCATGCACTTCTAAAAGATCTTACTACTCTTGCCAATGACAGTACAACTTCTATCAATCATCTGTGAAGGAAAATAAAAAGTAATTATGACCTTTTCCTATATAGCATTTCTCCAATAAATTGGAAAATACCTATAGAATAATTATGACTAACCAGAGAAGGCTGCAGCCATAATTACCTTGCACCAAATGATGTGCTCTGTGAGTTCTTCTCCTGTGGGTCCATCTTTACAATCTTGTGAGCAGTCACATATAGTGATATAGAGTTGCTTTGCCTCATTCTCTACACTTAAAGCTGCAGTGTTAGTTTCTTGTCTCAGAACATCATTAGAAAATAATATGTCTGTTTTACTTAACAAGTCATGGAAGAAAATAGATGACATGCAGAATAGTAGCTTAAGATTTCGTTCCCAGAATTTAAAGATATAGCTCATGTTATTTTGAACTTTCATGCACAAACCACAACATGCTGATCCAAAATATTCTTCAAAGCTAGTGTTTTATCAAACAAGTCAACATTTTTTTTGCAATAAGAAATCAACTCGTATTATATTGGTTTTGCTCTTTTGGCCCTCTGTTGTGACCTTTAAGTAATGATCAGACATAACTCTGGATTTTATCGAACAAATCGGTCCATATATACTGCCTGCTTGTCGGAGTCAACAACTTAATCCCCTTGAAAAAACTGGCTAGCTGCATAAAAAGCTGTTCTGTTGATGGTGATCACCCAATGCGTGCATGAAGCTGAAAGCAATAAGCACTACTAATTCACAGATTTAGGGTTTTTTTTTTGTGGATGATCATGTTGGCAATAAGAATTTTGCAATTTCACGTGATCAGATAAAGTATGAGAGGTGTGAAGAAAACATCAATAATCTGTCTAAGGACAAAATTTTCCTTTTACGGAGCTGGCATGCAACTGTACACAGTGAAGCTTCTCAAACACATGATGTGCATATCTGTGACAGAGAACAAGCCATCCACTCTTACTGAAGAAGAATTTAGTCAAACAGTACATAAACCACAAAAAGGGTTCCTTTGGGTTCTTGTGATGTGCTCACCATGCGTACACAAGAAGGATGCAACAATCATACGTGTCTCGACCAGGGGCGGATCCAGGATTTTCAGTCACCGGTGTCATTAGGTAAAACATATTTTATTATAGCCTAGCTTGATATAGTTCTAGATCCTTAATCGATGACTGGATTTGAAGTGTATATGTTAAACTATAATGGTTTAAATTTTTATAGTATTTCATAAAAGATTGGGAACAAAATAATTCATCCCAATATTATCAACATAATCATAAATCTAAATCATATATTTATGAAGCTTAGTTATCTATAATGTTCTACACGTGTTCTAACATTAGTGAATTACTAGTACAACATAGAAATAGATATCACTGATTGATAACAATTCGAGCAACTTACCATGTCTTCTAAGTATTAAAAAACATTTTTGCAAAATTTAATGCATACATGTAAGCTTTTTATCTGTTGCGCACTATTTCTATACCTTATTATTCTACATTGTTATCTATTAAACCTAAAAAGAAGTAATGACACATTTCACCGGGTTAAATTACTAATTGTTTAACATATCAGAACAAAGTAAAGTAACCAAGCAAGTTAGTTCTAACAATCACTTAGCAAAACTATGAGAAGTTGATTAATTAACTAAAGGAAAATAGGGTGTTTGCACGTGTAATGCTAACAATAGCATAACTGTTTTGCTTTCATAAAACAACGCATGTTTTTATTACCTGCTAATTGCATGAGCTGTAGTGAATTGGTCAATCTACCGGTGTCAGTGAACTTTCATCGATGGTGTCATTGGCTAAAAACAAATAGCATCGTGTAGGATTTGCAAAAGGGCGTCGGTGTCAGCTGACACTGGTAGGAACACCGTAGATCCGCCCCTGGTCTCGACTCTCCAGCAATCAGATGTGTCTCGATCTTGCATCCTGCAAATACCATGAAGAAAGGGATGGGTGAGACAGGCTAGATAGATGGCCAGTTCTGGGGAGAGCCAGCGTGTGCGGCTGAGCACTTTACTCCTTCTCCCCCTTCCTCCGTTGCCGCCGGCGTCTATAGTCCCTCGACATCGCTCACGGTTCACCTGACGAGATCGATGTCGCTCCACCGATGAAAACTCCCCTTTCTCCCCTGCCACCTGCCACCATGGGGGCTGCGACGAGCCGTCCCCTTTCTCATCACCGAGATCTGAGTAGTTGAGAATACCAGATTGCAGTAGATGGGAAGCATAAACCTCGGTTGCTCGGGTGATGACTGATGAATTGTGGGTTCCTCCTGGAGTTAAGGAGGTGATGGGGTAGTTGGTGTTGGGGCTTATTATTAGGGGTGAAAACGGAGCGGATATTATCCGATCCGATCCGCTCCGAATCCGTCCGATGTGAGGATATGGTAAGGATTTTTAGATATTCGGCCGGATGCAGATGCGGATGTGGATATGGTATCAACGATATCCGACGGATGCGGATTATCCGATATTTTAATCGGATTATCCGATGTACTGTTTGGCGGATAATCCGCAACTTTCAGGCCACACAACAACTCTATTTAGCCCATTTTACATCGGACGGCCCATCTAGCCCATCTAGTGTAACCTAATCCAATCCTCCCCTAAATCTCTCTCTCTGTGACTCATCTCTTAGTCCCTTCTCCTGCTCCCACACGCGCTGCCGCATGGCACCATTACCATAGGTGCGCCGCGCCGCCGTTGCAGCATGTTGGCGCCACCGCCGCCGCTCCTCCTTCTAGTCCGCCGACAGTGTGTTGTGTGTTGTGTGCTGTAAGCAGTGTGCTGTATGGAACTAGTGTATTGTGTGCTGTATGCAGTGTGCTACTGTGTTGTGTGGCTGTGTGCTGTATGCCTAGATAGCTGTATGCCTCATTGCCTCATGCGTGTCGTATTGATGAGTGAACTACTGATCTACTGAACTGAACACTATATTTTTAAATTTTAAGCAACACAGTGAACTGCTGAACTGAACACTTATATTATGTTTTTGATGGATGTGTTATATTAAGCAAAATTATATTATTGATGTGTTTTGGTTGGTTTTTCCTAGAGAGCTGAAATCATGTTCATATGTTGTTTTGCCATCGTATTGCGGCTAATTGTATTGCCGCCCTCTTGTTGTACGGATTGAATACAAACTTAACATCCGACAACTTTTTGTCCGTTTCCGAACCGAGTCCGCACCGACTCCGCACCGAATCCGACGTCCGAAATAATCCGCTCCGCATCCGCATCCGCACGTCATCCGCACCCGCTCCGCATCCGCTTAAAAAAAGGTTTAGGATATGGTATAGCTATTATCTGTCCGAATCCGCTCCGTTTTCACCCCTACTTATTATATCGTGAGCTGAAAATGTGGAGATAAATTAGCCGGTTCGTTAGATGTGAAATTTTGGCGGCAGTCTCTAGACGGAAAATCGAGATTGGCGGGAAGTATTTTCATGTAAATTGCTCATAAAAAATAGTACGGTATTTCTTTTTCAAAAAACTACGAGAGCCCATAAGTTAAAAAAATTGGTCCACATGTAAGTATTAAATTAAGGTAATTTTGATTTTGTTTATATATATAACATGAGATTTAATTCTACATTCTTGTTTTTGAGATGGAAGTTTGATCACAATTCTTTTATAAAATATAAATTTATAGAAATATAATAAGTTTATGAGATTAAGAAATTACTTTCAAAACAAAAATGTACATGTATCATTTGTTATGTGTGCAAACTATCATTTTCATTTATATTTAAAGTTATAATAATTTAGTTGGAACTTGTCTAAAACATTATATATTTTCTTGATCAAACGTATTAAATGGTAAACACATCCATTAATTTAATTCTATGTTATTTGACTTTACCATGCTCTACTGTCTCAATTGGTTCCTCGTCTATTGGTCTATTTGAGTCTGGCTATCTTCGGTTCCTCGTCTATTGGTCTATTTGAGTCTGGCTATCTTCATAAATAGCTTGAAGTGCGAGTACAAACATCTCATCACTACTTACTTCCTATGCTTTTCACAATCAAACATAGCTGTCTCTATTAGACACTAGCCATCCAAGTCAGCCTTATGTCTTCAGCGTCCTACGTGTAAGCTAGGGAAACCACGTGGCTACAAACATAGCATTTAATGGAAGATGATTTTTACAGGTTAAATGAAGCTTGTTTGTGGTTCGCATATTTTGGCTTAAATTTCATTATCAAAGTGCCCTCTAAATTCTTTAGAAAATTAATAAAATTGCTGCTGATACGAAGTTAATTGTCCATCCCATATACAAGCTTGTTTATTTTTCTGGTTATTTATGTACAAGTAGCCTCTATATGTTTGTGCCTAGATAGCGTCGTCAGCCGCTGCCATTGCTGTAAGGAATAACTAGATATTCTCACTATGTGCCTACTTCCATTCTCCTTCGTCATATTACATAAAAAAACGATATGTATACTTTTTCGTAAAATTTCATTTTCCACACATTATAAATAGCACTGTATATGAAAATGTAATAGGCTATTATTTGATATAGAGGGGAAGATTTTGTTTCATTAACATGGATTAAACTAATTTACTGATAAGGTGCGTACAAAATTGTTAAAACTTTATAGCATTCCAAATAAAACTACTAGTAATAAAAAAAGTTATTTCTAATTATTCTATTCCATTATCTAAAAAAAAATAAAACTACTACTAATTTATTTCTTTATAGGTCCACCCTGTCAGATTTCCATCAATCTAGCTCTCTTGTGCCTGAAAAACAGAAACGAACTGATTTTGCCGCGGGTTTGCTCCAAAATTTTGTGTTCGTACGCTTCCTCCCTCAATTTGCCGGGTTTTCTTCTCCACTCTCGGAAGCAGTTATGGTCCTAACAGAGAACAAAACCCATCTCATCTCCTTGACTCCTTCCCTGTACATACCGACCCAATCTCTCCAGCCTTCGCAGCTTCTCCACAGCGGATGGCGGGGCCCGCCGCGGCCGACGGCACAATCCCTTGCAGCCCAGGCGACGTCGCCGGTGCGGCAGTGCCTCAGCCCTGGTCGCTCGTCCCCAGGGCAAGATCACCCGCCTCAACGCGCTTCTCCACGCCGTCATCGAGGTCAACTCCGACGCGCTCCAGCAGCCGGCGCGCGCCGACACCGCGAGCGCGCCTCTAGCCACCGCTACTGCGGGCCGCTCCATGGCGTCCCCATCCTCAAGGACAACATCGTGACGCGGGACCGGCTGAAAACGACGGCCGGGTCGTTCGCGCTGCTCGGCTTCGTCGTCTGTCGTGACGCCAGCGTGACGGCCGGCCTCCGCGCCGCCGCTGCCACCATCCTCGGCAAGGCAAACTCCTCCAAGTGGTCCAACTTCCGCCCCGTCCCGAACGGCTGGAGCCAAGACGCTGGTAACACCTATCACCACCCTAAGCTGTCGTTTTTTTCTCCAGCATCTCGTCTTGTATGCAATGTGTTTGTGAAATTGTCCATAAAGAGCCCCATGTTGTCAACTGACGTGATCCGGTCCAGCCGCGCGGCGCTGGCATGAGTGCATCATCCGTGTTGAACGGGTGGTCCCTGGCGGCTTTGCCCGCGCGCATCCCCTATGTTTTCAGTTTCAGCACCAGCAGCAACCACCTCACCGTGATGGATTCACTGGCTGAATTTGTTCCTGCCAATCAACGACCGCTTATCATAGTAAGAACTTGCTGAATTTGTTTCTGCCAATCGATGGCAGGTTACAATAGTTAGCACTCTATTTCTTTATGCACACCACGAGTTCGATACTTTGGGCCAGTGCAAAATCGTTGGTCTTATTGTTTCATATTCTTGTGAACTGACTCACCGCTGTATACTTTTGTGGATTTAGGCAGCTCCAGTTAGCTACTCACACGAAGGTCATTTGCATCTACTAGAAGCTGCAGCATGGACGTGATATATATATTTGCAAGATCTGGTGAGAACACTATTTAATAATCCCAAACACCATATTAGTGCTGGCAGTGATTGTCATACTATGTGCACACGATCTATTAGAATTTGTTGAACCCAAGCTTTGGCTATCTTGCTCATGCCATAATTGTTTGGAATGTCAGATTACATTAGGAGGTGATGAAGTAAGTGTTCCAAACGTGCAAATCCATGTCATCATCCACCAGCACTGCCCCCTCACTATTACCATTCTCTACCATATGTACTAGTAATTATTATAGTTATACAGATGAAGTAAGATTTCATGCTGGAACTTTCTTAGGAATAATATGCAACTTGTGACCTGTTTTTGCTAGCATTATTGTTGTTTTGAATGAAGAATTGATGGTTGCAATTGGCCGATTTCTGCTAACCAGTGAATCAGTAAGGTATGAATGGATGCAAATTCTGCTAAACACATAGCTATTTTTATTCAGGATAGAGCTGCGAACTACGACATGAATAATACTCATATGTACATGAATGTACATGTTAATACATACATTAGGATAAATATAATAAATAACTAGATGAATGGGTAGTGTGAACTAACCTAGCAAGTTCTGTTTTTTAAATCGTTTGGTGGAAAATCTGGCAGTTTTTTTATCAAAAGATATGTGAAATGATGTAGACACTCCCAGTCTTATATACAGTCCTCATCAAGGTTGTTCATGTTGCTTAGGATTCTATTCATTCGTCCTTATCTTTTTTTTTTGTTAGTAACAACATCTTTGTACCATGATCTAAGCTTTCAGGCTGGTATAAGTATAATCAGCCATCTGTGGCCTTTCAATTATTCTAATTATGCATGTGTACAAGATTGTCCTTTTTTATTCAATTCAGTGATCTCCAAGGTTGCATGTAAGCTTTGTCCACTAGATCATGGATCCAACACAAGCCTCCAGGTGCTGTTAACCTCATCTCCACATATTTAGCGACAAACTTTGTGTGAGATGAAGATCAAATTGTATAGTCAAATATATTCACTTGTGGTTATTAAATTTATAACACACCTACATTACCTTTACTTTCTATTTCAACACAGCAAACTATGGATTTAAATGCTAGTAAACAGACATTGCTTTTCTACAGACCATTTATGAGCATTTTTGGTAGAATAAAGGAGTTTTCATATGTGGAAAAAAATATCTTGAAACTAAGATCTGATCCAATGGCCATTTAACAATTGTGTGAATTAGTGATTATTACAGCAGAAGTGTGTGATCATTGAGTATGTTTATTAAAATTCTTTGAAGTGGTGGAATTTTTTTACACTGCCACCACATGTTTGTCACTGTTGTTGGTATAGAAAGTACAAATTTTCATCTATGTGATATCAACTGTTTATTTTCAAGCCCATTCTTTGGTTTGTCAAGGTGGGAAATTCAAGTAAAGGCTTGTTTTGATAACCTCTTTTGCAGGATTTATTTTCAATTTGTTCAAGGCTGTTGGTATTGCACGGAGGAAATTCATTACCTACTTTTTTTTTAACCTTGCAATGTCATATTGATAACCCATGTATCCCCGCAAAAAAAATATTGATAACCCATGTAATCATGTCATCAACTCATGTGATATTTGGAGTGCCTTGGAGTGTATTGGCTTTGAAAGCTTTGCTATCCTGTATTTCCCATGGTTATTCATCAACAGAGATTGCACATTGTTGCTTTCTACTCTGCTAGTGGAGGGTATGTTAATTAAGTCCATTGTTGGTGGATGATTATTTGATTTTTGACCATGTTAATGGATTAAACTAAGATCAACATGCTATCTGTAATATATATATCTGACTTCATATGGAAATTCGATTGTATATTAAACAATGTTATGAACTCCAAAATAATTTGCATATTGAGAACTGCACAAGCTCAAGGGAACTTTAGTCTGGTCTATTATAGAAAAATGGCAAAAACTGAGGTGATTAAAATGAGAGGTATGAGAGAAAATAGAAGAGTAATACAATTTTTAAGTAAACAATGCAACGGAAAGTAAACGGTTGATGTAAATCTCCGAACAAACGAATACAGTAGACATGTGAGTTCGAATAGTTTGCTCTATGGTTAGCAGTTTCCTTTTTTTTATATATATATTTGGAGACATGTCGCAAATCAGAGTAAAAAAACAGATTTGCTAAAAATATGTCGCCAGTTTTTGTCAAAAAATAGTCGATTTTGTGACAGTACGATTTACATCGAGATTCGTGCTAGTGCAAAGTGTCGTGACGGAGGGTTGAACCCAGAACTTCGAAGTCGGCAGACAGAGCTCCTAACAACCGAGCACGGTATTGGCATTCACTTTATTGCCAAAACAAATTAATATTGAATTTTGAAGTACTTATACACTAATTACCCCCCACATTCACTTACACGGCACTTACGCTATAATTACATATGTATTTATTCACTTACACAGCACTTGCATATCACTTACACTATAATTACATATGTAATTTAGGGACTTACAATGTAAATACATGCTGACTATTTTTTAATGAAAAATATGGTTCCATAAATATAGCTACTCCCGTTAAAAAACACACAAAGTAAAATTATCACAACATAATCCAAACACAGCCATGCGCTTTCCAGGTGCCACTGGATCGCAATGCTTGCGATATACATGTTTGAGCCTAGATATTATTATTATTCTTTCTAAAAAAAACTTGGACAACAGTTGATAGTGTGATGGCGCAAAAAAGAAAGTAAAATCATTTACATGCACCTAGCAACACCAAGGTATACTTGCCCACTTGGTTGGTTGAGAATTGCGTATGCCAAAGGTCTAGAGTTTAACTCCCTCCATAATAAGCAACACTTTTTTACCATATATTTGTTCACTGTTTCAGCATTCATAACATTGTGTTACTTTTGTTCACTGTTTCAGCATTCATAACATTGTGTTACTACAGGCGACAGCAACATATATGTAGGTGTTACTATACAGTTCAAGTATAACATAACTCGTATGTTTTATAACACACAGCTTGTGTTGCTATTGAACTATCTTGTAACATATGTCTTAAAGTGTTACAAATTTATATTGAACTATCTTGTAACATATGTCTTAAAGTGTTACAAATTATGTTACAATATGTAAGTTCTGTAAAATGGGTGCACGATGTCATTCCAGAAACACCTTATGCCATAACTGAAAATTTCATGAACAAATTATTCAATGAGTATAATAAAGATTACATTACCCATGGTGAGTTTGAATTATTCAATGAGTATAATAAAGATTACATTACCCATGGTAAGTTTAATATAGATTACATTATCATGGTGATGATCCTTGTCTGCTCTCAGATGGTACTGATACATATGCCCTTGTTAACTAATATATAGTCATATTTCCTCCAAAAGTATATATAGTCCGATCATAAATGGTATGGACATTATCATGCCGAAAACCACCCTTTAACAACAAAAATGACAAAAGATAACAATTTTAAGACATATTATTGATTTGGTTATAAATAATTAACTCTGATAATTAAATCTACCAGTAGAAACTTACGCCGTACTTAGGACGTCTGCATGCAATCCATATTCCAAATATAAAGGATGAAATAAACTGAGGTATTGCAGCATACACTCATTTCATGAGAAAAATAAAAAATATGAAGAAAAAGTTAAACAATTGATCACAATATATCTTGTTTTCAAAAAGAAAACAGTGACAAAAAAATAACTGATTATAATTAAAAAGATCAATGAATTAATTAATTACACTCATTTAGTTTTTAAACTTCATAACACTTGCAAATTTCACTCGTAAACTAGTAGCAGTTAATTGTGTGTACTTGTATGATGGCTACTCGGAGGACATCACCACGGATGCCAACGGCGGCGGATCCTATGGCCATGGCAGTGGGCCCGATTATGAACTTTAGAAAAAGGCCCAGAAGTGCAAGTCTTCTTGCTGGCCCATGAATAATCCTTAGGAAAAATGAAAGAAAAGAATAAGCTGGTTTAGTACTTTTAATGTAAATGTGCATTTTTTTCTTGGCATACTGTGGACAGAGATATATTATAACCCTTACATACATATAGACTAAATGACATACCACTATATGTTTAGAAGTGCATGTGTGCAAACCTACCCATATTGAACATAGCCAGCCCCAGCCCTGATCTTGACATTATTAGCACCGACCCCTCCAAAGCTGGTGGCAAAGTGAGGTGCGACCTGCAAAAATATTAGGCACAGTTGTATATATTAGTACATATAGATTAATTATATTAATGAGCATGTACTTATGGGGATACTTATTACTCATTTACCTATTGGAGATGCAAGCCTAGGAGATGCCGATTACACTAGCATATAGACTAGGATTACAGGCTAACTTACGTGCCACCGACTTGAAGAGCGGTAACCTGGCACCATTCACCACTGCCACTGACACTGCCTCCTCCCCCCTGAGATCTTGGTTCGTGGCATCTGAAACCCCCTCTTCGAGGCTTTGCATATCTTCGCTGGTACCCGAGCTACCGACGACCGTATCATCATCTATGAAGGATCCTTCTTCATAACTGTTAGACTCGTCATGAGCGTCGGAGACGAAAGCTTTCCTTACTTCCAGGACCACCACGAGTGAGGTGAGCCACACTATTGCCTGGAAGATTGATAGTTGTACCACAATTTGCCCTGCCCAGTTGCCATACATGGCCCTCGCCATGGGCATGCCCACAACCAAAGAATTGGTGAGTGACGCAAGAGAAAAGCCGCTTATACACCAGTCGGTGACAGCGGCGCATAATCCCTCTTTCCGGAATTTCAACATAACACCAATGCTGATTGCGGCGACTATAATTAACTTTGCTATGCTATCAGCCGCTATAAGGCTGCACCTCACATTGTAGGGATCAAGGTGGAGGGTAAATTCAAAGGTGAAAAATGGAAAAGCAAACCAAACGACCATTCTATTTATTGCTTCGGAATCTTCTGCCGTGAAGATTTGCCACCATCGCCTGGAAGAGCAGTACCCCAATGCAAGGGCGAAATAAAGCAGTGTTATCGCGGACAATATTTTTCCAATGTCCACCCACCCTATCATCTTGAAATTGGTGAAAAAAAAGATGAACAACACTAATACTTCCTGAGAATGTTTAGGTCGACGAGTGAACACTGATATCTCATGACGACTCGATATCATATATATAGTGAAGACTGATATCTCATGGAGATATTGTTGAGATCATGCCGTTATGAGTTTGTTAAGCATGCGCGAGCCAAATGCGGTGAGCTGATGATGGCGACCGCGAAAAACCAAATTGTGGGATTCGTTTTCTTCCTAATCACCCAAACTTAAGGATCTAACCAAATTGTGGGATTCGCTTTCTTCCTAATCACCCCAACTTAAGGATCTAATTGTTGAGATCATGCCATTACGAATTTATTAAGCATGCGCAAGCCACATGCAACAAGCTGATGATGGCGACCGCGGAAGCGACTGTGAAAACCAAATCAAACCAAATCGTGTTTCTCTTGCAGAATGTAGCGTGTAGTTTAGGAAAAACTGTATTTGGGATGGCAGCTTAGAGCATCATCAAAAGCATCCTAAAATTCTATCCCCAACATTTCAGTTATGGTAATTCTAAACAAGATTTGAGGTGTTAAAATTTTTATTCCTGCAACAGATTAGCTATAATTGATTTCCTAAAAACAAAAAGACTGAGCCCTTAGAAAACTTCCAACAGAAATTAGTTTCCACTCGTCGCTCTCACGAGATCACGCTCTCGCACGTGCCCCTTCGTCGCCCCTCTCCACGCAGTACCATGCCGGCAGATCAACCTGACTGGTACACGTGCACCCCCAGTTTTCTACATGTACACCAGCAATTCTAGCAGGCAACAAAGCACCAACTAGCAGCAAGCAATTTTTGATCAAAATCCCCGGAATACCACACAGGGAATGATATCAAGATGCTGTTGGTGATGCTCTTAGGTATCACATTCTAGTTTTTTTTTCTCTTTTTATTTTTAGCTGTGTTACCAACCTTACGTGTGACCCCCAGGCAGTATGGAAGTTCAGGCATTTTTGTTCTTTTAGGCTTGCAGTTTTTTTTCTTTCCCATATTTTCCACACAAAAAAAAAATCTCATTTTATTTAGAATGATTTTTTAATGTTTTCTTTTCTGGTATGTAGGTTGATAATTGTCCGTGCTGTAAAATGGGTGCACGATATCATTCAAGATGCACCTTATGCCATGACTGAAGATTTCATGAACAAACTATTCAATGAGTATAATATAGATTACATTATCCATGGTGATAATCCTTGTCTGCTCCTAGATGATACCGATGCATATGTCCTTGTCAACTAGATATATAATCATATTTCCTCCAAAAGTATATGACCTTATCAACCAAATATATAATCACATTTCCTCCAAAAGTATATGTCCTTGTCAACCAGATATATAATCATATTTCCTCCAAAAGTATATATAGTCCCACCATGAATGGTAGGGACATTATCATGCCCAAAAACACCCTTTAACAACAAAGACAACGACAAAAGATAACAGTTTTAAGATATATTATTAATATGGTCATATATAATTAACTCTGATAATTAAGTCTAATAGTAGAAACTTACGCTGTACTCAGGACGTCTGCATGCAATCCATATTCCTTGGCAAATATGAAGGATGAAATAGACTGAGGTATTGCAGCCTGCACTCATTTCATGAGAAAAATTAAAAAATATGAAGAAAAAGTTAAACAATTGATCACAATATATCTTGTTTTCAAAAAGAAAACAGTGACAAAAAATAACTGATTATAATAAAAAAGATCAATGAATGAATTGATTACACTCATTTAGTTTTTAGACTTCAGAACACTTGCAAATTTCACTCATAAACTGTCATAATCCACAAGTTTGGATGTATGGAAAACTTGGAAATGGTCACATTGCTGCCATGGATGGCAATGAGGTGCATATTTATACATGAATAATGCCTACTTTGATGCCCATATACTAAGTACTAGCTTGCTGAAAAAAAATTATTTGAAAGCAAATCTGATTTGAAAGCGTTTTATGCAAATAAAACTTGCCTTATGCTAAAAAGAACCATATATGCCTTCCTTGGATATATGCCATGCATGTAGTGTGTTAGGATTGCCTTGTGCTTGCTAGTACATTATTTTTGTAATGTACTGACTCTTGCATTTGTTGTTGTATTGTTGTTATTTAGAGATGGTTGCAGGTGAAGTCACTCCGGAGGAGGATGACTTCTTTGGTGATGATTCGTTCTTCCAGGATGGTTCTTGCTAAGGTCTACCCTAGTCAGTTGCATAAAAGATCTTTTAGGTAGAAAATGCTTCCGCAAACTTAAGTATTTGGCCGGTCGGCCATAAGTATCTTAGTACTAAGCCCTTGTTTAGATTCCAACTTTTTTCTTTAAACTTTCAACTTTTCTGTCACATTGAACTTTCTTACACACACAAACTTTCAACTTTTTTCTTTAAACTTCCAATTTTTTTCAAACTTCCAATTTTGGCGTGGAACTAAACACAGCCTAAGTTGTGAGAATTTATCTAAGTCCCAGAACCCTCTATATTTGGATATCAAGTGCTTGGATGAAAATGTTTAATATGTTCCTTATGTTAGGAAAATATTAAACATGACTATCAGTTAAAGATATTTGACAAGTCGTATATCTTTAGCCATTTATCAAGTCTCCTGAATGTGTAACATATCTTGTCGCTACCTTCGTATGGTTTGACGGGCACATCTCAGACTGAAGTTGACTGACAGGCTAAAGGACCAGCAATATCTCTAATATCCTTCTCTCGAAGCGTCGGATGTCTTATTATGCTTGATGGGTGAATTGAACCATTCTATTCAACTATCAAACATAATAAGAGGTCCGGAGTGCTTTTGACATAAACTAGTACTCCAGTAGTTAATTGTGTGTACTTGTATGATGGCTACTCGGAGGGCATCATCATGGATGGCAACGACGGCGGATCCTATGGCCATGGCAGCGGGCCCGATTATGAACTTCAGAAAAAGGCCCAGAAGTGTAAGTCTTGGTCCACACTACATAATCCTTTCTTGCTGGCCCATGAATAATCCTTAGGAAAAATGAAAGAAAAGAATAAGCTGGTTTAGTACTTTTAATGTAAACGTGCATTTTTTTTCTTGACATACTGTGGACAGAGATATATTATAGCCCTTACATACATATAGACTAAATGACATACTGCTATATGTTTAGAAGTGCATGTGTGCAAACCTACCCATACTGAACATAGCCAGCCCCAGCCCTGATCTTGACATTATTTGCACCGACCCCTCCAAAGCTGGTGGCAAAGTGAGGTGCGACCTGCTATAATATTAGGCACAGATGTATATATTAGTACATATAGATTAATTATATTTATGAGCATGTACGTACGGGGATACTTATTACTCGTTTACCTATTGGAGATGCAAGCCCAGGAGATGCCGATTACACTGGCGTGTAGATTGGGATTACAGGCTAACTTGCGTGCCACCGACTTGAAGAGCGGTAACCTAGCACCATTCACCCCTGCCACTGTCACTGCCTCCTCCCCCTTGAGATCTTGGTTCGTGGCATCTGAAACCCCCTCTTCGAGGCTTTGCATATCTTCGCTGGTACCCGAGCCACCGACAACCGTATCATCATCTATGTAGGACCCTTCTTCATGTCTATTAGACTCGTCATGAGCGTCGGAGACGAAAGCTTTCCTTACTTCCAGGACCACCATGAGTGAGGTGAGCCACACTATTGCCTGGAAGATTGATAGTTGTACCACGACTTGCCCTGCCCAGTTGCCATACATGGCCCTCGCCATGGGCACGCCCACAACCAGAGAATTGGTGAGTGACGCAAGAGAAAAGCCGCTTATACACCAGTCGATGACAGCGGTGCATAATCCCTCTTTCCGGAATATTAACCCAACACCAATGCCGATTACGATGACTATAATTAACTTCGATATGCTATCAGCTGCTATAAGGCTGTACCTCACATTGTAGGGATCAAGGTGGAGCGTAAATTCAAAGGTGAAAAAGGGAAGAGCAAACCAAGCGACCATTATTGCTTCGGAATCTTCTGCCGTGAAGATTCGCCACCACCGCTTGGAAGAGCAGTACCCCAATACAAGGGCGAAATAGAGCGGTGCTATCGCGGACAAGATTTTTCCAATGTCCACCCACCCTATCATCTTGAAATTGGCGAAAAAAAGATGAACAGGATTAATAGATCCTGAGAATATCCAGATCGATCTAAAAGGTACTGTATTAATGATATACTTACTACATAGAGTCGATAGATGAACACCGATATCTCATGGAGATAATCCCCTCAAAATAAAAAGTCACACCTCACACCTCATACCTTTCTCCTCCTCCAAATAAGAACTCCCACCTCATGCCTTTCTTATTCTCCTAAACTTATGGGATCTAATTGTGGAGATCATGCCGTTACGAGTTTGTTAAGCATGTGCGAGCCACATGCGACGAGCTGATGATGGCGACTGCGAAAAATCAGATCGTGGGATTCGTTTTCTGTTACGGAATGTGTAGCATGGAGTCTAGGAAAAACCGGATCTTGGGATGACAGTGTAGGTATGGCATTCTAGTTTTTTTTTCTCTTTCTATTTTTAGCTATGTTACCAACCTTACGTGTGACCCTAGGCCGTATGGAATTTCAGCCATTTTTGTCCTTTTTAGGCTTGCAGTTTTGTTTCTTTCAATGTATTATATAATATTATCATATATCCATATTTTCCACTCCAAAACAAAATCCCATTTTCTTTAGAATGATTTTTTTAAGACCAACTCATGGAATCTATCTCTGTCATTTCTATATTATTAACCATGTTTATAAACAATTTTACAGTTGATCAGGCCATCAAAGGATCCCTCTTTGCATGCATGCACAACTGAACTGAACTGAACAAAAATAAGATAAAATGCAGGTCAGCTTTAGTTTGTCCTGTGGCTAAGCATGCACCTCATAACTCACAAAATTGGAGGGCCTAAAAGCCTCCAGCGAAGAGCTTTTTGGCGTGGGATCGATCAGACTAGTTAATTAGCTATGTTGACATGTAGCTAACTTGCTATGCATGCATCTAGGGATGATTTATCTACAATAATCGCTGACAATCTGTCTGATCGGCTTGAGAGATGGATTCCCACATGTTTAATCACGAGGTAACTACTGGTTCCTTTTTTTTTTATAGGAGTAGAAAAGCTTAAAATCACTCCCTTCAATAACAAGTGACGCTTTTATATTGATACGGTTTCTAAAATGCAACTTGATTTGCATACAACTAACTAGGTGAGCCGCGCAATTGCGCAGCTAGCATCCATACAAAATTATTTTTTTTACATATGATTTTGCTTAAAATTAGTTAAATAGCTATATAATTGTCTTAGGACTTTGAAAAACCGAACCTTATCATCTGCATTTTCTAATTTTATAGTTTTTGAAAGTCACACTAGGCGCTACCTCGTACTTATTTGTTACCCTTTTATTTATTTGCTCGATCTACTACGGTTTCTATTCATCCTCCTTGCAACTTTTAAAATTGGATCTTATAAATTCTAGAGTTTATTGCTCGATCTACTACGGTTTCTATTCATCCTCCGTCAAACGCCGTCACTCGACTCCCCTAAGCCGTCCATCGCCTACTCTTTTTATTTTCATTGGGATTTTTAAAATCGAACATAATTATCATCTGTGTACATTTTAACTTTCTAGAAGTCCCGGCAAACCATCCGTAGCTTTGTTATTGTACTCCTCTATGACCCATCCGTTGCCTTCTCTCTTAATTATTAGTGAGATTTTAAAAATCGAACATGATTATCATTTTGGTTTAATTTTTACTTTCCAAAAGTCTTGCCAAACACCGTGATTGTGCTGCTTAACAGCTTGCCTGTCATCCCTTCTCTTAATCATCACTGGGATTCTATTTGATTTTTTTTAAATTTAACCACTATAATTTTGACATGCTATCATCTAACAATTATTTTTTAGTAATATTTAAATTCAATAATATGATAAATAGATACTACTTGAACACTTTGGAAGTCATATCAAAATCCAATTTGGGGATGTATTTTATTTTTAATTTTATTTTTAATAAATATTTTTAATAAGTAGATGGACTCTGCTTCTAATATTCTTTATTTTTAATTCTGAATTTTAGTAATTTCTAAATTGCATTCCTACCTGAACTCTTTCGAATTCGTAGAATTCATATTGAAATCAAAATTTGGGATTTATTTTATTCATAATTCTAAAATTTAATTAATCCTATGTTGTGTTCTAAATGCACTCTCTTCCAATATTTTTTAATTTAGAATTTTAGTAAATTCTAAATTGTTTTCCTACTTGAACTCTTTGAAAATCGTATTGAAATCTAAATTTGGGATTTATTTTTTAAATTTTAAATTTTAATTATTTTGTCTTTGTTTCTAGATGAACTCTTTTTTCAATACTACTTATTTTTAATTCTGAATTTTATTAATATTTAAATTGTATTCTTACTTTAACTTTTATTTTTATTTTTCTCAAACTTATTTTTTAATTTCGTTTGATAATATACTCAGTAAGGGGCAGGTGTGGACTGCATGGATGTCATGTGCGGTTGATTGCGCATTAGACATACTCCAATCAAACAGTTGATATTTTTTTTTATTTTTCTCTAATTAACGTGGTAATTTCTTAAAGGTTTAGACATCATAGCAAAACTGATAAGCTCCTATGCGGTATACAGGAGCCGGGTTTGATATTTTTTAGGTGCATGTATGTTAGTTTTTTTTACGATCTAGATTATATTTCCAATTTGCCGTGCTAGTCATCAATCTATCAAAAAAATGTATGACATTTAATTTTCTCCAGGAGTGCTAGGCTAGCTATTTACGAATGCATATGGCAGTGTATAGACATGGAGGCATGCACTATTTATTTTTCTTAGTACTCTACTTTTCCTTTTTTTTTCTTCGATGGTTAATCGGATCTACTCTACAGTTCAATCACTCATTCTTTCATTGCTCAGGGAACGGAAATTGTGTCGTGTATTCGTATTTCTCGTCAAGTGAGTCGAGACTGCGGCTGCATCCTGGAGACTGGGACGGAAATCAGCAACAGCTAGCAGCACGAGCCACGCTCACGTGTGGAGGCAGCAGTAGCTTAGTTGGGAGCTTTTCTCGATGAAAGAAAGAAATGAAACAAGAAATAGAGGAATAAGATCCCAATTTTCTAGCATCCATCCAGGAACAAGACCCCAATTTTCTAGCATCCATCTATCACTGTTAAATAAAACATAGGTAGTTTGCTAAATTTCATGTATTTGATGGACTATGAGATATTAAAGTTGGATGCAGAATCATATAGCGTGCAACTCTTTTTCGATATCATATTATTACTTTGTAGTTTTTTCGCTATATATTCCATGTTTGTAACATGAACATTGATCTATTATATATAACTTTGATCTATTATAAGTGCAATCTCGAATGACAAGGATTTTAGCCCTCGCAGCCTCGCAATGCCTCATTTTTTGTCCGTCCTCTGCCACTGTCCTTGCCCAAATCGGCGCCACCGCCCCTGCCACCGGAAGCCTTTTCATCTCTAGGTCGCTGCCGACGCCTTCCACGCCGAGCTGCTCCTCGCCGCCACCGATCCCTGCCGCCGACACCTTCCACGCCGAGCTGCTCCTCGCCGCCATCGATCCCTGCCGCCGACACCTTCCACGCCGAGCTGCTCCTCGCCGCCACCGATCCCGCCACCGGAATCCCTTTTGTTGCTAGGTCACCACCGCCGCCTTCCGCGCCGATCTGCTCCCCGCCGCCACCGATCCCCATTGCCGCCATCACGCTCTCACCATGCCTCTACTTTACGCTCCACATCTCATAGCACAGGTAATGTGGCTCTTCTTGAAGCAGTGGCATTGTTCTGTTCTTTTGTTTTTTTGACCGTTTTGGGTATATTACATCTAATTTGTCCACTGGGTTCAGTAAAAGTGTAAAACACAAAGCAGAAGGATTCTCTATATCCAGTTCATAATTGGGAAGAATGTCATCTGATAGTATATAAGTGAATAATTTTCCATGTAATACCTAGATTGGCTTATCATCTGTTGATTCCCTGGAGAGCTAATCAACCCATTGAATTGTTTTGCCACTTACCAACTATACCTGATTAAATCAGTAGTCAAACCTTTTACTTGTTTTCAAATTCAAACTTTTTACATTTTGATTTGATATTTCTCTATTAAATCTGAATTGCACTGGTTCTCATTGCTTGTTTCTCTCAGTCATGATCCATGTTTCATGTGTAGTTACCAACACTTCTTGCTTCCATGCTATCACTAGGAGAAAGAATGATAATGTGGTTATGCACAGTTCTCATTTAGCAAAATCACACCAAGATAGAGAATGGTACTGTGGTTATTAACACATTTGAAGATCCATCTGTTATAGCTTGTTTGTGAATGTTGGGGCTTTTTTTTTTCTCGATGTTCTGTTCTCTTTTCTGCCAGAAAATATGCAAACCAATATGTTAATTCATTTGCCTGTTTGCGTTTAAATGTTGTGTCTTGATTCTGATGTTTAATCCAATGTCGTAAAATCACTGCCAAATTAATAATCAAAATATAGCTATGCATTGTGGTGAAGTCATGCTCACGATGAGATAGAGCTCAGCTGCTAATTTTAGTCACTAATTTTGGTAAAATAAACTATGCCGGGGATATCTTTGAATGTGAGGCTACTAAAATTTCATGATGATATACTCCACTTAAAATATGTTTATTTGGGTTGGAAAATCAGGACTTGACAACAATTTCTTCTGTTCCTTTTACTGGTCATTTTACTGGGCTGAATATATAAGATGGAATTGCTTAGTGGTTATTGGTATTTAACCTGAAATGGATGCCTTGAGATGATCACAGATGGCGGTCTTGTAGGTTATCCATTGCCCTGTGATATGCATAGATGTCACCGTGAAAGGAATGGAGCAATTCTTAGATTAATTATATGGAGTCTTAGCTTCAGTCATACATGGTAGATGCATTCCTGTCTTAAATACATTAGAATTGGCATATAGAGCATCAACAGGCATCAAAGAGGCCTATGAAAGTTCTTTCAATTCAAGTACGAATAAATAGTATATTATAAAGACTAAAACTTATTTGGAACCAGCACAGAATACTATTGTTTGTAACTTTCCTTTGGAATAAAGTATGGCTCATACAGATCAATAATTCATCTTTCCATCAGTGGCGCTTGTCCTTTGGAAAGAATTGCTGATAATTCGATGGAACGTATTGATCTTAAGACAATCAGGGGTCATAATATTGTTTCTAACTTTATGTCAATTGAGAAAATGAATGCATCGGGCAGCACAAGTGCTGATATATAATAGATATGTGCATACACATGCTTTTACACATTAATTTTCATGTTGTTGCTAAATATACATTGATGTGTGCATTCCTGATAGGTTGATGGGAACATTATAAGGAGGTGCTAAAAGTCATGGACTGCAAGTTATCTTCTAC